TACTTGGCGTGGAGCACCGTGGGGCTGCGGTGCAGGCCAAGTCGGATGATGCGCGGCCCCCGCCAGGTATTGTACAGGAGCTTCATCACTGGCATCGGGGTCCCACAAGCAATCATTCTATCACGAAGGGTGTCAAGTGGTATACCCTCGTAGAACTTACTGTAATCCATCAGAAGAAGCACGCTGTAGTGGTCATCGGCTGCGGCTGCCTCCCCCCGGGCGTCCTGGAGCCAAGAAAGGTCCAGTGCACTCCTGCCAGCTATCGCGCCCCAGTACCGTCGCTTGAGCGTGTCGCGCATCAGGCCTAGGGAGTCACGTCGGTACCTCTGCCACAGGCGATGGGCACCAGCATAAAGAATGACTGGGCGGTGGCCTGAGTCGGGCTTCGCTAACATCGGCACGACGATGAAACAAAGTTGCCTTGGTAAAAGGCCTATGCGCTCGCAGGCCTGGCACGGCGTGGCCAACGCTTCGAGCGCATGGTCAGGTAGAAGCGAAACATGTCGAGGGTGAATGCGATCAACGCTGGCAGCTGTCGTGTGCGGGAATGTCAGCGAGACCTCTCTCAGCTGGGCTGCCGTCGCGCGAGGCAGCGCTGATCGGTCGGGTACACAGGCAGGCAACGGGCTGTCAGTGGCGTGCCGCAACCGACGGTACTTGTCAACCTCAGCTGCAACGACGTCGTGTGGGTGGGCAGACTTGCCAGATGCAGTTGCTGCCACTGTTGGCCGCGGTGCATCAGGCACTCGAGTCGCACGGTGAAGGCCACGACCACCGTTGGCTGAGGCTGTGTCACACCAGTCCTGCCACCGCTGCCACGACTCACGTTGATCCGCCACCTGACTATCATGGACCTGCTTGGCGATGTCAGAGCGCCGTTCAGTGAGGACAGTAGCTGCTGTTCTGGCCTCAGGCCGCAGGGCCTCAACTGCGCCATCGCAGGAGGCAGCCTCAACGCCGCGCAGTGCCGCTGGGGTCTGGGCGGAGGCAGCGAGCTCGAAGCCAACATCAGCCGGCTGATCTCGCAGGGCCCCCGGGCCGTGAGGCGCGCTTGGCCGCGTGTACCCTGGAGCTACATCAACAGCCACGTAGGGGGCGTCGACCGCCCCCCCGTCGGGGGCCCCCACCTGGTTAAATGCGCGCGAGAGGGGGGGAACCTCGCCGTGCCGACCCCGAAGGGCGGGCCCACCCGTCGGTGGCCTGTCGCGCAGAGGTGACCGAACCCCAGCATGCACACGGCCAGTGGTGGGTTCATCATCACCCGGCGCCTGCTCGCGTCGTAGATCAACGAAGGGATCCTGCTCATCATCGTCAAGGCTGTTGGTCTGTGGCTGGCGCGGCCGCGGCTGCAGGGGCGGGTCATCGCGGGGTTCACCAGCAGCCATGGCACAGGCTCGATCCACCATGATACGGCCATCGCGGACAGCATTGTCGAGGTCATCGCTGGGACCCTGACCGTAGTACTGCTCCGCAAGAAAAGCACCGAGTTCCGCCTGGGGCGTGACCGCGGGCGTGCTGGCGTCCTGCAGCAGCTTAGCGAAATTGGCCAGGGCCTGGTCTAGCCACATCCACCCATGCGCGATGGCCGTCGCCTCCGAGAGTGGTAAAGGTCGGTGGTGGTGGTCGACCCAACGCGGCTTCGGCGGAGCGCCCCACGTGGTGCTGGCTCGCTCACTGCTAGTAAGGATGCGGATCTCGACCTCTGCATTAGCAGCGAACGTCGCCCACGCCTGGGTGAGGGGCCGCCACGCCACGCGTAGGTCACCATCGCGGCAGGCCTCCTCAGCGGCTTGAGCCCGGTAGGCAGCCGCATCCCAGCATTGCCCAGGCTGGCGCGGGCCACAGGCACGATGCGCGTCCAACTTGACGCCCACAGCATACGCAAGGTACTGCTGGCGTAGCCATTGGTCCGCAAGCCCGAGCACGGTCGGCCGATGAGGCCGCTCGGGCCAGGCAGAGTCAACCATGACATAGTCAATCAAGTGGCGCGCCGCTGCATTGACTGCGAAGAAGTCAATCGCACGGCTCGTGGTGGGCGAAATTCACGTAGGTAGTGAGGGAGCAACGATCGTGAATTGAGCCTCCCTCGGACATCCTGCCTCCTCGACCTGGCGAGGCGTGGCGTTCCAATCTTCAGCAATCACAGCAGGGCAGCGAACATCAGCAAGACGATGACCGACCTGAGCCAATATGCGGGCATTGCGCCCCTGGATGCCTTGCCCAACCGCCGGGTGCATCACGATGAGGTGCAAGGGCGGCCAGCCAGGGAAGTGCGCCACGGCATGCAGCACGCGGCGCGGGTGCACAACCATCGCAGCCTGGTCAGGTCCACGGAGACCACTGTGGGCTCGAGCCAGCACTGCAACACCCTGCATCGGCGTCGTCGAGCGCGACGGTAGACTGGGAGACAGGAGCACTTGCCAACCACGCCTGCCAGCCCAGGCAGCAAAATCATCTTGCTGGCCAGCCGTTATCCCAATCTCCCGGGCCACGAAGACAAGGGCAGTAGTCTGCTGGATCCTCTCCTTCAGGGTGCGGGGGCCGCGGTTGGCATTGAAGGGCTCGATCCGTAACGTCGCCCGTGGCTCAGGCGAAGGTGGTTGCCGTACACGCCCACGGTGGACGGGAAGGCACGTGACAACGACTGGTTGCGGGTCGAACCCGCGGCTTCTTGGTCTTATGAAGTCCTGCGATGAGCTCCTTGGAGGTAACCTCGAACTTGGCCTGGTCAGAGGAACTGGCCGTTGAGCAAACGAGGTCATAGAAGCTCTTGGTCTCGTCGGCAGTGAGCTGTCGCTCAGCCAGGCGTGGGACACCGCGAGGAGCGGTCCAGCCTGGTCACCCATGCCCTTGACGAGCTCCTGGAGCTGCGACGGGAGCTCAGCCTGGTTGAACTAAAACGGGTGGCCCGTCGCCTTCGCGGGCGCCACCGCCTTGGCCGTAGTCGCGAACTCCTCCTCCAGGGTCGCAATCTCCACGGTCTTGGCAGCGATGGCAGCGGTCTTGTTCTCCAGCGCCGGCTGAAGGTTCTGGAGCTGCGTCTGCATCTTGTCGCGCTCCTGCGTGCGCTGCTTGAGCATATTCTTCGCGTTCTTGAGCTTGTCTTGGGCTCGACGGTGCGCGTTGTCAGGGGACTGGCACTTGCCGAGGCGTTCTCGGAGCTGGGCAGCCTGCTGTGCGAACTGAGCCTTCGCGGAAGCGGGGACATGCGGGTCCTTGGCAAACTTCTCGAAATAGGCCAGCTGGGCCTGGAGGTCCGCACGCGAGTCATTATCGGAGGCCCCTTCAGCGCCTTCACCTGTGCTGGCACTCGGGGTTGGTGAAGGGCGGAGCTGCGACTGGAGCTCTGAGACCTGCTTGCGAAGCTGGAGCAGCGCAACCTGAGCCCACGGCGCAATAGACGCGGGACCATGGCGCCTGCCAGGAGGTGCAACCGAGCGGCTGGGGGGCGGCTCAGAGCTGGCGTGGGCCTTCTTCGCAGCAGTGATGACCTTCTGCGGGGCGCTCCGTCCACATCGGCATCGGATCCGTGACGCCCAGTTGCGGTCCGCCCCACACGCGCAGCCCCACAGCGGAGTGCGCGGGCCGTGGAGCACGTCGGGGAGCGCTGGCGCCATGGAAGATCCTGGAGCGCGGGAGCTGAGGGTGCAGGTGCCCAAATCCTGCGGAGTAGGCGGGGAAACTCGTAGTCTAGCCGCGGACTAGCGGTATCCGTTTTGGCCCCAAGGGAACCTGACATCTTGAGCCAAAATGGCTACGGAAGGAGGAAGAGGAGGAGGAGAAAAAAGGGGGAGGAGGAGGAGGAGGAGGGGGAAGAGGAAAAGGAGGAGGAGGAGGAGGAGAAGAAGCGAACGTCGCCATGAGGGGGCAACATCAGTCCCTAGCCAATAGCGTGCCCGCCCGGTGGTAGCGCGGCTATTCCCTCGGTGCCACCCGGCTTCCGCCACGGCGGCCGCTTGAAGAGGAGGAGTGGGAGGACGACCAGTTTAAACTCAAGATGCATCAGCAGATGCATCAACGTTGTTGCAATATTCCCTCCGTCCAAATTCCCTCTTCAGAGGTCCCTACGGAAAGTTCGTGTGGTGTTGACCCCGGCGTTCGTTCCTGACACCGCGGGGATCGTTCAACCTGAAACGATCTGCCGTTTCCGAAACGTCAAATTGTTCAACATCGACCGGTTCTGGGCCGCCAACGGCGTTCAACATTGAACGTTGGTGGCGAGGTCGCCGCTGGTCGACACGACGCGAACCTACCGTATGAAAACTTGTTTTCATTGCGGGAAATGCCCCGTAAGCAGACAGCCGTTTGAGAATCGTCAATCGTGCCAGAAGCCAATTCCATGGGCTTAAACGCCACGAATCAACGTCGCTGTTGCGTCGTGGCAACCTCAAATCGCGCCAGGACGCCATTCCTGGGACTTCAACACCGTGAATCAACGTGACTGTGGCGTCCTCGCAAATCTAAATCGCTCCAGGACACCTTTCCTCTAACTTCATCCATACAAGAGCCCTTCAAACAGACTAATGCTTTTAACACACATGTGCGCGACGCGGGGGCGAGACCCACATTTCGAAAACGACCCGCCCTCCATACTTGAAGCTGGTGCAAGGTTTTTAAAGGAATGCGCGCGGCGCTAAGGCAAAAGCCACATGTTGAAAACCACCCGCCCTTCATCCTTGAAGCTGCTGCAAACTTTTAATTGGAATGTGCGCGGTGCTGAAGGGAGAACCACATCTTGAAAACGACCCACCTCAATCCTTGAAGCGGTTCCGAACTTAAAAAATAAACGGCGCTGAGGCGAGAATTACATTTTTTGAAAACGGCCCCGCTCTCCATCCGTGAGACTGTTGCATATTTCAAGCTTCGGGATCACAAATAGTGAGGGCATGTCCTGCGACCGCCCCCCGGCCCGCCCTACCGACACGTCTTTGGATACGGCAGCGAACCAGCTATATAAAGGAAAAGGATGGAGGATGAGGTCGGGGAGGGCGAGGGGTCACCTCGCTGTCCTTGATCTTCCCGTCCTGCTCCTCCTCGACGGCGTCGGCTTTCCTTGCCACCCGTGCTGGCGTCAAAAGGGAAAGGCTGGAAGATCATGTTGATGCTGCTGATGGTGCTGATGAAGAAGACGACTATGATGCTGCTGCTGGTGGTTCTGCTGCTAATGATGAGGAAGAGGCTGGGGCAAGTGTAGTAGTACCAGTAGCCGTAGTAGTAGTAGTAGTAGTAGTCGTCGTCGTCGTCGTCGTCGTCGTAGTAGTAGTAGTAGTAGTAGTAGTAGTAGTAGTAGTAGTAGTAGTAGTAGTAGTAGTAGTAGTAGTAGTAGTAGTAGTAGTAGTAGTAGTAGTAGTAGTAGTAGTAGTAGTAGTAGTAGTAGTAGTAGTAGTAGTAGTAGTAGCAGTAGTAGTAGTAGTAGTAGTAGTAGTAGTAGTAGTAGTAGTAGTAGTAGTAGTAGTAGTAGTAGTAGTAGTAGTAGTAGTAGTAGTAGTAGTAGTAGTAGTAGTAGTAGTAGTAATAGTAGTGTAGTAGTAGTAGTCGTAGTAGTAGTAGTAGTAGTAGTAGTAGTAGTAGTGATAGTAGCAGTAGTAGTAGTAGTAGTAGTAGTAGTAGTAGTAGTAGTAGTAGTAGTAGTAGTAGTCGTAGTCGAAATAGTAGTAGTAGTAGTAGTAGTAGTAGTAGTAGTAGTAGTAGTAGTAGTAGTAGTAGTAGTAGTAGTAGTAGTAGTAGTAGTGCAGTAGTAGTAGTAGTAGTAGTAGTAGTAGTAGTAGTAGTAGTAGTAGTAGTAGTAGTAGTAGTAGTAGTAGTAGTAGTACCGGTAGCAGTAGTAGTAGCAGTAGTAGTAGTGTTCGTAGTAGTAGTAGTAGTAGTAGTAGTAGTAGTAGTAGTCGTAGTACTAGTCGTAGCAGTACTAGTAGTAGTAGTAGTAGTAGTAGTAGTAGTAGTAGTAGTAGTAGTAGTAGTAGTAGTAGTAGTAGTAGTAGTAGTGGTGGTGGTAGTGGTGGTAGTAGTAGTAGTAGTAGCGATAGTAGTAGTAGTAGTCGCCAGTGTTAGTGTAGTAGTTAGTAGTAGTAGTAGAGTGGTTGTAGTAGTAGTAGTTGTAGCTAGTGGTGTAGTAGTGGTAGTTAGTAGTTGTAGTAGTTAGTAGTAGTAGTCTGGTTAGTGGTAGTGGGATTTTGGTAGAGTAGTTAGTAGTAGTAGTAGTAGTAGTAGTAGTAGTAGTAGGTAGTAGTAATAGTAGTAGTAGTAGTAGTAGTAGTAGTAGTAGTAGTAGTAGTAGTAGTAGTAGTAGTAGTAGTAGTAGTAGTAGTAGTAGTAGTAGTAGTAGTAGTAGTAATAGTAGCAGTAGCAGTAGTAGTAGTAGTAGTAGTAGTAGTAGTAGTAGTAGTAGTAGTAGTAGTAGTAGTATTAGTAGTAGTAGTAGTAGTAGTAGTAGTAGTAGTAGTAGTAGTAGTAGTAGTAGTAGTAGTAGTAGTAGTAGTAGTAGTAGTGCTAGCAATAGCAGTAACAATAGCAGTAGCAGTAGTAACACGACTACCACTGATAGTAATAAAATTACCCTGGCGACGTACCCAACCCCTGCGCAAAAGCGGGGCGCAAATAGTTTTGAATATTTTATGAGGGGGCGATGATATAAACCCGCCGACCCCGGGGGCGTGTGCGGACGACCTTCCTGGCCCTGGCATCCCCGCCCCGCGGAACCTCTGTTCTTGGGGCACCCCACCAAGTGATTCCTCGCCCAAAACCATCCGATGCCCCCCTGGGACCCCCCACCGCGCAATTTCTTGCCCAGAACCGACCGATGCCCCGCTCTTGGCCCCAGCATCCCCACCCCGTGGAACCTATGTTCTTGGGCCTTCCCACCACGCAATTTCTAGCCCAAAACATACCGATGCCCTCCTCCTGGCCCGGGCATCCCCGCCCCGCGGAACCTCTGTTCTTGGGACCCACCACCGCACAATTGCTCTTTCAAAACCGACAGATGCCCCCCTCCTGGCCCCGGCGTCACCGCCCCGCGGAACCTTTGTTTTTGGGACCCCCAGCCACACAATTTCTTTGTCAAATACCAACCGATACGTCCTTCCTGGCCTCGGCATCCCCGCCCCGCGGAACTTCTGTTCTTGGCCCCCCCACCGCACAATTTCTGGCCCCAAACCGACCCCTCCTGGCCCAAGCATCGCCACCCCGCGGAACTTCTGTTCTTGGGCGCCCCCCGCGCAACTTCTCGTTCAGAACCGACCGATGCCTTCCGCCAGGCCTCGGCATTTCCACCTCGCGGAATCTCTGTTTTTGGGGCCCCCGGCCCCCCACCACGCAATTTCTTGCCCCAACCCGACCGGTGCCCTCTTCCTGGCCCGGGCATCCCCACCCCGCGGAACCTCTGTTCTTGGGACCCCCCACCGCGCAATGTCTCGCCCAAAACCGACCGATAGCCTCCACCTGGCCCCGGCATCCCCACCCCGCGGAACCTTTGTTCTTGGGACCCCCAGCCACACAATTTCT